GGGTCACTTTACAACCAGAAGCGCACTTTACAACCAGATGGGTCACTTTACAACCAGCTTACAAAATCCGAGAAGGGCACTTTACAACCAGGAAGGGCACTTCACAACCAGGCAAGTAAAAAACACATATTGAATGCACGCGGGCCTTTCCCTGAAATCTCCGTGGGCAAGCGCAAGGGTGGCTTTGGGCTCTTTGATGCAGGTTGGTTGTGAAGTTGCCCATCGCGCACGAAGAAGCACTGCGCACGCGTTGGCGATGCGGCGACCTGGTGCGCTATGGTATGTTGCGTGCTGGTGGGCGGATTAGGGTTTTGACCTGCTCTCTAAGCTCTGTCGGTCAGTTATGCCATTGCTTGCTCTGCCTTTTTCTGACGGACGAAGGCTAGTCGCGCAGGACATACGAATAAACCATGATCCCGTCCAAGACTGGAGCTGCATGGCAGCGGGAAGCTGTAGTGGGAGATGTGGTGGTAGCGGGGGCTACAATGGGAACTGCATGGTGTTGGGAAGCTGCGGTGGCACCTGTGGTGGTCGCCAGGCAGCGGTGGGAACTGTGGTGGTAGCTGGGCTGCAATTGGATTTGCGGTGGTAGCGGGGGGTCAGTCGGAATTGTGGAGGTAGCGGGGCGGCAGCGATAAGTGTGGTGGTATCAGGCACAAAGGTGGCGGTGATGCGCTGTCACGGTGGCTCAGGCTGCTGCGCTGGCACGGTGGCTGAGGCTGCTGCCCGAGCAGGATACCTGCGTTGCTGCGCTGGCACTGTGGCTGACGCTGGAAGAAACGATCTTCGAAATAGTTGCATATATTCGGAACGTTGAACCTCGATCTTCCAAGAAGAGGAGCAGCAGGGGACCAACTGGAGCTGGGGCACTTTGCCCCTTGCAGAACACCGTGGGGCTTCAGGGGCCAACGTGGCCCAAGAGACCCGCGGTGCCAATGGCCTAGTTCCCTGGGGCGCTGGGCCCTTGTGGAGGCCACTGGGCTCGCTTCCTGTGAGTGATCCCTAAAATGGGCAGCGCGTCGCCCTGAGCCTTCCTGCGTATGCTGTCGCCTTATTCCCGCGCGAGCACGGGGCCCTTGTTGAGGCCGCTTGGCCCCTGCTAGCAAGCCCTGTCTTAGTCTGCTGGGCTCAGAGCGCCAGAGCGTCCAGGCGCTCGGGCTCAGAGGCATCGCTGGGGCCTGCTCAGAGCGTCCAGGCGCTCGGGCTCAGAGGCATCGCTGGGGCCTGCGCAGAGCGCCCAGGTCCTCGGGCTCAGAGGCATCGCTGGGGCCTGCGCAGAGCGTCCAGGTCCTCGGGCTCAGAGGCATCGCTGGGGCCTGCGCAAAGCGTTCAGGCGCTCGGGCCCAGAGGCATCGCTGGGGCCTGCGCAGAGAGTTCAGGCGCTCAGGCTCCAGAGCGCCCACGTGCTCTGGAGCACCTTTCAGAGCGCCCGCGCGCCCTGGAGCACTTTTGAGAGCGCCCGCTTGCCCTGGGGCATTTTTCAGAGCGCCCACTTGCTCTGGGGCATTTTTCAGAGCGCCCGCTTGCTCTGGAGCACTTTGCGGAACGTCCAAACACGCACGACCACTCTGAGCTGGTTGGTTGTAAAATGGCCCGTTCTGGTTGTAAAGTGGTCCGTTCTGGTTGTAAAGTGGGCCGTTCTGGTTGCAAAGTGGACGTTCTCGATGAAAAAACCATACTTTCCAATCCTATGTTGGTTGTAAAGTAACCCATCTGGTTGTAAAGTGGTTGTTCTGGTTGTAAAGAGATCGAATCTCGTGTGTGTGTGTGTGTGTGCGTGTGCGTGTGCGTGTGCGTGTGCGTGTGCGTGTGTGTGCGTGTGCGTGTGCGTGTGCGTGTGTGTGTGTGTGTGTGTGTGTGTGTGTGTGTGTGTGTGTGTGTGTGTGTGTGGTGTGGTGTGTAGGGTGTGTGTGTCGTGTGTGGTGGTTGTGTGTGTGTGTGTGGTGTTTGTGTGTGTGTGGTGTGGTGTGTGTGTGTGTGTGTTGTGTGGTGTGCGTGTGTGTGCGTGTATGCGTGTGTGTGTGTCGTGTGTGTGGTGTGTGTGTGGTGTGTGTGTTGTGTGGTGTGTGTGTGGGGGGGGGGGGGGGGGGGGGCGGCGGGCCGCCGCGACATGGTAGCGCGCGATGGCAGCGAAGCGGCACTGCGAGGACGCGGGGATCCTTTGGCCGCTTGCCCCGACGAGGAGAGGGGGGAGGGGGGGGGGGGGGGGGGGGAGGAGGAGGGGAGGAGGAGGATGCGGAGGAGGAGGAGGAGGAGGAGGAGGAGGAGGAGGAGGAGGAGGAGTAGGAGGAGGAGGAGGTAGGAGGAGGAGGAGGAGGAGGAGGGAGGAGGAGGGGAGGAGGGGGTGGGAGGAGGGGGGCGGGGGAGGAGGAGGAGGAGGAGGAGGGGCGGAGGAGAGGAGAGGAGGAGGAGGCGGAGGAGGAGGAGGAGGAGGAGGAGGGGGAGGGAGGAGGAGGCGGAGGAGGGAGGGGGGGGAGGAGAGGGGAGGGGGGGGGCACGAAGGAGGCGCGCCAAATTCTTCTACGCGGCGATCAGCCGCCGCGACGTGATGGGGAGGTCGCAGACGCAACGCATGGAGGCAGTCGCCCAGGATCCAGACGAGGAGGCCGCCGCCGCCGAGGAGACGCAGGTGGCAGCGCCAGCTGCCGACGCTGCGCCAGCGGCCGCAGCTGCGCCAGCTGCCGCGGCCGCGAGCACCGCGGCGGGCGCCCGGGTCAAGGCCGAGCCTGCAGAGCGGCCCCAGACTGAGGCGGATATGGCGGCCGCGGAGCTGGCCGAGAAGAAACG